GTATATTTGTTTGTATTGCCAGGTTCCGAAGGATATTATAATACGAAATGTTGACGAATGTAAGAGGGTTAGCGCTTCAGAATGGAAATTGTATCGAATCGATGTGTTTATATGAGGGATTATTGTACGGACGTGGGCGTAAGGCTAGTGACCTTTGCAAATATTGCTTTATTAATATTAAATCGAAATTGTTGAATGAAGTGAAGCCTACAAAAGTGTAAGTTTCCAAAGCTACAAATACAATTTACTCAAACTTAAGAAGTCACAAAGCCATTACAAATAAAGTTTATTAACCTATTTCTAATGTACTATGTCTGCTGTCTGATAGTATATAATTTTTTATACAAGATAGATTGAAGTTTGACCACTATCTCGCCTGGTGGTAAGCGATGATGTGGCCGACGATGGAGCACGGCTACTTATGGGCAATCTGTTCACTCAGGCCTTGAAGACAATCAAATAAAAGCGTTCACTATTTACATATTGTAAAACTCAATATGACACAGCTAATCAAACTACAGGACACTAATAATCACTACATAGTATAAAATAAAGTCGCTATCCCTATGTATGCTTAGATCTTTTAAACTACGCAACGGATTTTGATGCTGTTTTTTTAATAAATAGTGATTTTTAAAGAGGTTTTATATGTATAATACCTGCATATTGCACTCGTGGGAACCCGGGGCGGGTCGCTAGTATTCCATAAACCATAATAAATACTATCCCAATTAATCACTACTTCCCATCACTTACCCAACTTAAAGAACACACCTAGGAAATCAGTGATGACTGATGACAATGACACAGTTGTTCCCCCAGTCCCCCAGTCCCCCAGTCTCACAATAATCCCCGTTTATGAATCATTAAGTGAGCTGCGTTGTCTCACGCTAATGGGGCCAGCAATTACTCATGTTTACTTAAAACGACTAGGATTACCCGACTGCGAGGAGGATGTTAGTGTTTTTAGAGATTGTCCTAGTAATTTATGTTGTTTTTACGGAAGTTGGGGTGGGTAGAGTAAGTTATGATTTAAAGTTTGATTTGTTGTGTCAATTATTATGTTGGATAGGGTTTTTTAGAAGTTGTTAACAGTGTTCCATGTTTGTTCAGGGTTTAGAAGTCTATATTCAGTATATAACTAAAGCTCCTAAAACTTTGTAATCTCTAGTCTAAATATTAAATAAAAATTACCGATACTATAATAGCAACCTAAGTTACAAATCTCAACTGTACGAAGTCAAACATTCCCTAATTTCGGCAACACATACGTCAGCTAATTATGATCCACTTAGAGCCTAATTTAAGCGCGTTTAACGTGCGCAGGAGTGCTGGGCGGGGGACTACAAAAAAGCGCCGCCTAACGCATGACATATGGCGTCAATGACATTATACAGGGCGGTGCAAAAACAATATTAGGTAAGTGTTTATTTGTCACACTCTACCATCCTGGTTTCATTCATCCGTCATTTTTTGTAAATATTATCGTTGTGGTCCTGTCTCATAAAAAATAAGAGTGTTGTTTATTTTTGTGGATTCAGCAGATGTATGAGAGTTGTTACTGATAGTAGCATAATTAGTTAATCGACTATGGCATTTACTTACTTTAATGAGCAAATTTAACTTAAGAATATTAAACGACCTAAAAAATCCTCATGAAATATTAAGATTCCGATTGGATGCTGATCGTGATCGACAAGTTTCGTAAATTTCCCCCCCTATTATTAGATCAATTCCAAGTACGAGTTCTGTGCAAGCACTGCTCGTAAACTAATGTATCTACTTGAGTACTTCAAAGTCTGCCGCCAAACGTACCGAGAGCAAGGAAATACTGGGACATCAGAGGAATTGAACACATTCATTAAAATGTTGGTAATTAATTAGGAGAAGAACGCTTCCCTGATTCATAGAAAGTTCAATCTAATTTAAAGTGCGAAGTAGTGTGTACGATGTTTTTAAAGTGTTTCTCTACGCTAGAAAATTTAAACCATAATTATCAATGCAGAAACTTCATGCAACAACTAAGAAATATCAAGGAAAACTATTCTTCATAGCACATTGCCTCCACTAACCACGGGCCACTGAGCTTAAGCTCATCCAACCTTCATCTACATTCCACACAAATAAATCCCACAACGAAACATTTCCTCGTACTCGAAGAGGATCATAAAACAAAACACCCTGTATTCTCGGAACGTTTCGTTCTACGAAATATGCAAAATGCGAAAAATCTACAACGAAAAAAAGACCGTTTCGTTTTTAAATCCCCCTGTATACTCGAATCCCTGTGGACTGCATAGATCAATAGTAGAAACCGAACAACGTAAAATGAATTTTGTGACTATAAACATAGAGAGTACTTTTGCATGTTGAGTGAGTAAATTAGTGAATAAAATGGGTTCGTCAATTAGTGTGTCTGTTAAAGAGCCGCTCTTGTTATATCTCAGAAGACACGTGTCGCGCTGCAATTTGTTGAAATAATAATAATTGTTAAAACAACGATTGTAGTTGCGCGCGGAACAATTGACATGTGCCAATGTCACATCTGTTGTGATCTATCATTGTAGTCGATTGGTTTACATATCTGTGTCATAAGTGCGGTTTATTGTTCGTATGAATACATTCTTTCCAATATTACTTAATTGATTCTTATAACACAGTTGTTTAGTTTACAAATCGAGATAACTTATCGAACCTGTCTTTCTTTAATAGATTCCCAATTTTATTGCTTTCTCAATAGAATTAAAATTTGGTATCTTTACTATCAAAAATTGGATCTCAAAACCAATCTTGTTCAAAAAATGCTTCACAGCATCATCTAGAACCGTTACATCGATGTTAATGAACATAATCTTAACAAAATAAACTATGACCTTATACGTTTTAGAACCTCACAAGTCACATCCTCTTCTATTCCTAAGAAACGTATTTCGTCTTAATCAAATGATTCAGCTGAAAAAATATTCCCAAAACTTAGTGGCAAGTGATCTCGCTCCAAGAAATCGGAGCCCCTTTTCGGGTCCCGTTTTTTTCATACGTTTTTGCGTTGCCATCTCGTTAACGGGGACATTAAGGGATAATAGACTTCCTATGCGACACGTGGGGAGTAGATGACGAGTCCCGAGTGAATTAATTACCGACTTTGGAAGTTTTTAATAAATTGGTGTTATAATAATAATGTAGTTATTTAGAGTGATTTGTTGGTTATTTCTTCAGCTCCTGAATGTGTGTGTAAGTTTTATGATATAGCTTGAACAATTATTTTATTGTGAATTGTAGGTTTCTCAGTTGGATGTTAATATTAAGAAAGTTCACAACTGTACTCCGAGTACAAAGATCTGTCTTTTATTGCGAATTAAAACTCTCACATAGATATCATCACTATCAATATTGTTAACATTATATAAGTAAGTAGTAAGTAAAGTATTCATTTTAACTAAAGCAATTCATCAGTAAATTTCATCAAAACATCGTTCCCCAAATAGTGTCGCGTTGACGTTATGGTCGGCATGTCTGGCCGGGGCTAAAGCATAGTTTTAATTAGTGGCACCATATGTGAGGGCTCACGTCGCGGGGGCCCTCCATCCATCTGCCACCGCCACCTTGGTGATAGTATAATTATCTAAGACCGTTTATATTGCTGGCGTAAGTGATGACTGATGAGCGAAGACTATCGATTATTGTGATGACGACCACAGATAAATTGGTAACTTTTATTCGTTCTACAACGAAACACTAAACACTTTTGATTGTTTATCCCAGCTTAAAGTGAAACTTATTTAAATGTTCTAGGGTTGGTAATTGATACAGACAGAGACCTAGATATTCCATACTAGATCACAGTTAGGATTTAGGGCGTCTTATTTGCATAGTATACCAATGTTGAGTAAATGCTCTAGAAATAAGGTGTGACGAGAGAGAGTGTTACGTAGAAAGGAATAAGGAACATTGGAGCTTATATCACAGAAGAATGTTTAGCAAAGCAATAATTCTGGCGTTAGTATCGTCCGCTCCCGCCCTTAACATGGACGGCGCTCCGTCACCCAAACAGCGCGACAACGTGTGTGTTACATTGGAAAACGTTTAAATTCAGAGATTTCGTGGAACACGCGACACCAGCCGTAAGTGATTTGTAATACATACAACATCGTTATTATTACACCTTTGTTTATAACTGTACATGCTTTTATTATAGGGATATTATTGAGCGTATTTAACGCAATAAGGATATTTGTAATATAAAAATAAATCTTTATCTCAAATTTGATTACGTCTATTTATATCCCTCAAAACGTATTGTTATTTCTGAATATTAACTGTAGACTGAAATGTGTTTAAACATTAATTATCTTCGCAACTTCGAGGTAAAACTGAAATCCTCTTCTATTTAGACATTTTCACGTAAAAAGATATTAAGTAATTGTGGTGTTCTATTTATTTTGTTAGTTAGGAGTCTCTATAAGGGAGCATTGTACGAGAAGCGACTGCCATCTGCCCTCCACAATCCGCGAAGGGTGATTACAATTAGGTACAATACATACATAACTTCACGCCTGTACCTGTACTCTTTCGCTTCATCGACAGTCATCGGTGTTTTAATTTTTTTTTATTGTTTGGTTGGCCGATGTTTGATCACTATCTCGCCAGGTGGTTAGCGATGATGCGGCCTACGATGGAGCACGTCGACCATAAGCAACCTATTCACTCGGGCCTATTTATTGATGATCGGGTAACATTTAGTTAACTCAGTAGGCAGTAACCTGATGTGTCTAGACTGGGTGTTCATACGACAAGAGATCCACTATTACTAATAGATCAACAATATCTTACAATACTCTTTATGTGATCCACAGATTGTTGTTCCGGGTCTGGGTGTCATGTGTATGTGAACTTGTATGTTTGTAAACGCACCCACGACACAGGAAAAAATCTTAGGGTGGGGCAACGTTTGTTGTAAAAAATAAAATAATAAAAAGAACATTATAAAGCAGTTGACTAACCTGAGTTTCGGTAACATTCAGCAACTTGGCCATATCAGCTCGTTCTCCAGAAGACAGGTACTTCTTCACCTCGAACAGTTTCTCCAGCTCGAAGATTTGTCTTCCTGTGAAGGTAGTCCTTGCTTTCTTCCGTCTCCCAACTCCTGGCTCCTCCCCTTCTTCACTGGTGAGAGAGCCTTCTCCACCAAGCGGTGATCGGACATCTTCTGTTGATTTCTTCCTCTTGATTAGTTTAGATGGATCTGGAACCAAAAGCTCAATTTTAGTGATTAGTCTACTTATTACCAGACTGTTTATTCTAAATGTTACAGTAAAAAAGAAAATAATTGTGTGTCATCACATTGTCTGCTGCCATAAAGAATCAAAGAAACATGTAGCAAAATTTTCATAGCATACACTTTTTAAAATGTACGGTGTTTAAGTGTTTTGACGTACTCTAAAAGGGATCTCGGGTTCAATTCCCGAGTTAGGCAAAGATTCACAGAGTTTTTAAAAAAAAAACTCAGTTTTTGCCGGTATATAGCAATAGGCTTACCTCCTATTACATGGAACTAATAACAAATATAGTGAAAGTTGGTGCTACCAATGTAACACTGTACAATTACAGTGGCATTGCAAGTGCCGTAATATGGTCCTCTGCCTACCACTTCGGGGATAAAAGGCGTGATATGATTATGTCTAAAACCCAATAACGTAAAATCAAACGACAATAAATGGCATTCAATATAACCCACAAACGTTCACTGCCTCTCAAAAGTACACGTAGCTTGTAAACGCCAATCTATTAACCCTCCCGCGCCTGCTTCGGATCACCTCAAGACGACCAATAAAAGTGGCCATTACTGCCTCAATTAGATACCTAGCGTAAATCAAGGGAGACAGCCATTAATTGCTAAGTGTAAATCTGCCACACGCTAACGTTGGTGTTTAGAAATACCGATTTATATTGCTATGGATATAAGCGGCCGCGGCGGCGGGTGAAGGGTTGAGACTGGATATTTATTCTTTATGTTTATATTACAGCTGTTAACTTGATTACTGCGATGATAGTCCATCTGTCGTAACTTCGTAAGTAAATACCTTAGAAGTTGGTTTTCATGTGTTATTTGGAATGCCTTTGGCTTGAAAATGATGGTTACTCTGACATATTATTATCTATATTACATCAATGTCTAATATTAAATAAGGTTTTAATTTTAAATAAGTTCGCAATCATTATGAGTAACTACTTTATTTGCACACCACGCCATTGTAGAGGTATATGGCAAACATGTCTCGAACTTTTTTCACTGCTACCCGCCATCATACATGCTATTGTTTATTGTATGTACACATGTGTTTGAGCAAATAAATATGATTTGATTTGATTCGATTTAATACGTAAGATTTTTAATATTAAAGGAGAGCTGATATTGTATGCCAATTGTCCTTATCAACTGAGTATTTACATTGCGAGAATTATAAACGATTATTCATTAGCACCTTTAAACACAGAGTTCAAACACATTACAATACCTTTTTGTATTTGTTTTATAATTACAATTGTTTATTTCGAAAACTAATCTAAATTAATTATATATAGTTAAATTAAGACCCACGAATAAATAGCTGACAATTTCTAAGAAATCAAACAGAGGCTTCCCTATAATTACAAATACAAATTAATACTCTATCGTGTAACAACCGCTACCCACATACTTAGACACTCATTAAATACTCAAAATAACTAACAAATTGCGTCTTTAAATAGTGATGTCCCGGACATGGGTGGTTATTGAGTGAAATATCGAATGTTTACAATGTTTGTACCGTTAATTCGACAATTTATAGCTTCGTGTCGCTTATTCTCGGTAGCGCGCACTGTAGGGATGTATCAACGTTTCTTTGTCTTCGAATGTCATATTTTATAGCTTTATAATAATATCAGAGTGATTCATTATGTTGTTTGTGTGGTTTCCTTTCTCTGTGTGTGAAAGAAAATGTTTTTCTTTCTTATAGACATGAGTTGTTACAATATCAATAACGTGTGATAGCGATTAAGTATTACAATTAATTGAATTACCTCAATCAACATCGATGTGACAAGAAAATGTAGAAATATAGCGTCATTGAATAGAAAAAAAATATACTGGCTTGAAATTACAAAGACATAAAGTCCCTAGTAGTCCTCATAAACTTTACTTACGAAAACAATAATCCCTACAGTTTTCTACCCTATTTCATATCGATATCCTACTTGAAACACACTCCCATCACTAAATTAAAATTAAAAAAAAACAAACAAATAAAACACGAAACCTGTCATAATTCAGTCGTGTACATTCTGAAACAGAATTGAAAGTGAAATCCGAAGCATATTTCAGTCGGTTCAGCATTGCAATATAATAATGTGGCTGAAATATGATGGGCTATAAATTCAATGTTTAAAGGGATATTAAATGGTACTCCATGATCGTGGGTATTCAACTGATTGGCGAGAAACGCAGTCCCACACTCGGGAATAACTACGAGATAGAAATAAGTGTAATTGGGTACTTTCTTTAATCAAAAATTAATTATTCCGACTAACCAATACAATAATAAAAAACAAGGACCCTTTCATTAATTGATTTTATGAGTAACTTAATTTTAGTATCTTTCCGACACATTTTTAAAAAAAAAGTATGATGTTTTTACACTAAAAAAACATGACGTCACAATACAAAGTTCATGGAAAACTGTCCTGTCGTGTTCGAAAAAGGTATTAATTTGACTAGTTATAGTTAGCAAGTACCCAATATTGAATAGGTTTGAAAATTCTCAGTAATGGAGACACAGAGACTAAAATTCTGGCCGGTGTATGTTACAAGCAACTGTGTTATGCAGAAACTAGATATGTTACATCAAAGGTGCATCAATGAAGATGATTTTTCTTAGTTATCGTTTTATTTTTATTTCGCTGTCTTAATGTTGAATTACGCTAACTCTGGTCAGATTATAACTAGACTAGCTACTTCCGCGCGGATTCACACGCTCTGCTCAACTCCTATTGGTCGTAGCGTGAAGTTTTATAGCCTATAGTCATCCTCAATAAATGCGCTATCCAACACAAAAAGAATTATTCAAATCAGGCTTGTAGTTACGGAGATTAACGCGCTCAAAAAAACAAACTCTTCCGCTTTATATAATAGTATATGAATAGTAGGATTATTTCGAGTTATCTTTGATTGATAAATCTTATACTACTACATAAAGCTGAAGAGTTTGTTTGTTTGTTTGTTTGAACGCGCTAATCTCAGGGACTACTGGACTGATTTGCAAAATTCTTTTTGTGTTGGATAGTCCATTTATCGAGGAAGGCTATAAGCTATAAAACATCGCACTACAATCAATAGGAGCCGCGCAGAGTAGGTGAAACCGCGCGTAAGTAGCTAGTGACTAATATAGAACAGTTATACTTAAAAGGCTTCGTATAATTAATTGTATATATGTACGAGAGTAACAATAAACACAGGCCGCGCTGAGAGGCCGCGAGCAAAAACTTCGCCGCAACTTAGCTGACATCAACAAGTAATGTAATAACTTATCTGGTGATTAATATACGAGTACAGAGTACTGGCCACTCGGTCATATTAATGTAATAGACATAAGACCTGACAGAAGGTAGGCAGACTAATATCATGACTGTGGAATAATCTCGCCTGTCTCTTGTTGGGGAAGAGATAATAGAGATTGTAGTAAACCTCATATACAGCATAGAAATAAATACTATAAGAACCTATACAGGGTGTAAACGAAACGCTTCCGAAATGCTGACAAAGAGAAATTGTTTTTACAATTTTAATCGATTTTGTTTTTGTGTTATTGCAACAGCAGCTCAGAGCGGTTGTTCTCTATTATTACATAAAATAAACATTAAATTCCTTACTTTTATGAGAATAAAAACTTGTTTTTACCATCACCTGTTGGCGTATTTCGGGAGTATATATCCTGTGGTCTAACCACGAAGCACGAAGGTCTTAGGACCTTAGTCTTCGCTTGGTCCTAACTATTACACTCTAGTCGGAAAATTGTTGTATTAAATTGTTACATTAAAAAAAATAGTAAACAATTTTTCTGCTGAGTGAGAGGAATTTCTTGCTCGTTCTTCTCCATTCGAATCTTTATTTTGGAACGAGCATCTAACGTCAATGATGGACAAACTGATAGACTATTATTTATTTTGTATTTGTTGACGTTTCAAAAGTACCAAATTATGGTTTAATTGAAGTACATAAATACTTTGACTTTAACTTTGTTGTATTTGGTTCTGCGATGTAGTAGACAGTCTGCCGTCAATCATATCACTAACTATAAATTGTTAATACGTTGATATATCGTACTAAAAATTTGTTCATACAAAAGTAGTCTCTATAAATCGGTAATAAGGTCACGTAATGTATCAAGGTCAAGCAACATACTAAGTTTGTAATTGTAATTAGGTTACCCATACACTATTGCATTTTGCTTATGTGTGCCCACCCGTAATATACATTACGTGAGAAAGCTCCGCGGAACGTCGCATGCGCATCAATAACAAAGGTAAGGGTGTGACGTTAGTGCACTGCGAATATTAATAAATATTTCTTAGAAATAATTAAATGACGTCAATGGTTGTACTAAATACTTAGCTTAATATTACACTGGATGTGCATAATTTGAGTAAAACTAATTCAGCGTTTGTTATCACGTTTGTTAAGTGGGTTTCAGCCCCACTCCTCAATCACTTTACATGTGACAAGTGCAAGTTTAGGTACGTTCATCAGGCAGTCGCATTTAGGATCATTGTATCATCATAAACGCACCCACGACACAGGGGAAAATCCTAATGTGGGGCAACGTTCTTTTTTTTAAAAAAAATGGTTAATTCTAACGAATTTCCATATACACTTCGTTAAACTCTGTAATGGGACCGTTTACAGCCTTATTATATTATTGCAACCGTTTGAAATTGCATCAGAGAATCGCTCTCGCTCTGCTCGTCACCAAGTCACTGACTATAATAGTGCTGACACTGCACTGAGTCACATCACACCGCGTCATAATGTATCGGTTACAACACTACTGGGAACTGTAATTATTATTATGTGGGATCAGTACTCAGTACTTATTGATACAGTGTCTCACACTCGCTACTTGTTAGAACTGGGTTGATAATCATCTTGATCAATACTTAGGAGATTGATACTTGAGATTATTTTGTTATATTTGAATGTGTGTAATG